GGTTAATGCAACAAGCATCTAACGCTTTGCTATATTTTTTGTAGTTCGTGATAGCTAGTTACTACGTTGTAGTTTCTAATACGTTCTGGAATCTAACGCCTTGTTTTGTAGTTTTTTTTTTTAGTTCGTGATGCCTTGTTATTACATTCTAGTTTCATAGCTGGGACATGTGAAGTGCCATGCGTTAATATGTCCATAATAGGTTCGCGCACAAACGCTATGCGCCGATATATGTTAAAATAACGATATGTTGATATGGTAGCTTTTTCCAAGAGCGGCGCTGACATCAGAGTTGTGCTTACGACTAAATAAGGCCGTCATGTTAAGAAATAGGGCCCGTGGTCTGAAATAATCAACCAATCTTGCTGAGCACGGCTCATTACGTGGACATTGAACCGCCACCCATGTAACCCAGGCTTTGAAGTACAACCCATGAAGCCGGCTATCCGGTATTGGATTTATAGTTGGTGGTTTTGGATGAGAGAGGAAATTTTTCCCAGGCGCATATTATGAGTGCTAGATATATTGATTTTTGGAGTCATAAATATTAATGAAATTTCACGTTAGGTGCTACACTTACAGAAGCAGGAAAATACCTGTAAGATAAAACAACATGACAATTCACAACTTGAGATGGTGTAAATTATGATGCCGAAAAGAGTAAGCAAATGATAGCATATCGGTAGAGAGTGTTTTTTGGGGAATGAATTAAACACTACTAGAGCTCTTTCTCTGATGCCGGTATTGCCACAGTGTTTGGGATGTCTGACACGGTCAGCAAGTGGTACTCCAGCGCAAATGAAACTTCCAAAACGAAAATGTTTACGATGTTTATGATACATTGATCATTTTTTTCTGTGACGCATTACTTTGATCGATATTGCAACGATTCCTGATGGATTTGGCTGCAGGTGACAATTTAGCCCGTTCCAAATTTTGTCCGTGACAGAAAATACTATTTTCATTCCTGACATTCAGCATAGGTTTACGTCTATGAAGCTTACTACGGATTTAGTAATCTATCATCACGCATGTCATTTAGTGGAGTGGCAATCACGCTATAAAATAACAAGCGCAATCGCGCAATCAGGCTTGACTTTGTCCACATGGGATGCTGTCCGTTGCGATCCAATAAGGAATCACCTTTATGCGCTGTTATTAATGGTGATTTTTGCATATACCACACACCCAACAAAATGTATTGTTGTATCCATGCTCACGACAAATCGGCACTGATTGCGATCTGTTTGGCCATCTTGCCCTGTGAAGTTTTGTGAGGCTGTATCGCCTTACGATGGTTCTGCCGAAACCTTGGCAGTGTTCTGCAGCGCGGACCTCATTAGCGATTTCCGTTAGCACGGATCAATTCTGGGCGCGGCTCCAGGCTCAGGAATGCCAGTCGTCGGCTGAGTGTATCGACTCTCTCACTCAAAGACGACGCCCTTCAGAGCAACGCTCTCTCTCTCCATCTTCCTTCCATCATTAGTCACGCTGAACATCATGCTCCCTCTCTAACGTACGATAGGCTATCAGGAAGACCATTGTCAGCGTAACTTTTTTCTCAGAACAGCGATGACCCTCATGCACGACGTCGGTAGTGTCAGAGGAAACATCTCCACAGTTTGTTTCCATCGGTCGTTGAGTGAGGAATGTGACGCCGCCCTGGGAACCTGAAACACCGCTTGATTTGCCATCCACTCTGTTTGAAGAAGAAGTAACACTGTTCAATCTGAAATTTTTCACGCGTTCGCTTGAGGGCTTAATTTGACGCTCCTCAGGTGTTTCCAAAAGAACTACGGAATTACACGCCGTGCAGGCGCCAAACTTAATGTTGCTGTATGCAATTGGATAGTCAATCGTTTGATAAAAAGATGAATGCACCCTTGACGTCACTGGCCTGTGACACTCAAAACCGGGCAACGGGCATCAGCGGTGACACCTCAAAGGTATATTTCACGTTGTGCTTGATGATGTCATTCAACCTTGAGATCATTAGGCAACTGAATTAAAGTTATACCTAATTTCAGTATCCGGGGATCGTTTGTGAGCGTCAAATCAAGGTCAGTACCACCTATTTTTGGATAGCTCGATTTACGCGGTAGTTAGTATTTGATCACAACGACATCAAAAGACGTCATGTTTTGGCTTCATGACTACCAGGGAAGGTCACTGACCTAAAATGACCTCGATCATCTTTTCGGTTCGAAGGAAATGCCACGTGGGACCGTCCTTCGCGCAAAACCTTGAAATCAAATACCATAAAATCTCGAAGGATTTTAGTCATGTTGACCTCATGCAGGTTAGGTTAGATCACCACCTAATATGACTCCTAGTGACGTTTTGCTTTGAAAAAAAAAACATTTAGGTTAGGGGTAGTTGGGTGAGAACGTTTGGGAGCACTTCAGACACACTGGTGTATCTACACTGGCGTAGTTCCAGACACACTGGTGCATCTACACTGGCGCAGTTCCAGACACACTGGTGTATTTACACTGGCGTAGTTCCAGATACACTGGTGTATTTACACTGGCGTAGTTCCAGACACACTGGTGTATCTACACTTGCGTAGTTCTAAACACACTGATGTATCTACACTGCCATAGTTCCAGACACACTGGTGTATGAACACTGGCGTAGTTCCAGACACACTGGTGTATCTACACTGGCGTAGTTCTAGACACACTGGTGCATCTACACTGGCGCAGTTCCAGATACACTGGTGTATTTACACTGGCGTAGTTCCAGACACACTGGTGTATTTACACTGGCGTAGTTCCAGACACACTGGTGTATTTACACTGGCGTAGTTCTAGACACACTGATGTATCTGCACTGCCGTAGTTCCAGACACACTTGTGTATCTACACTGACGTAGTTCCAGACACACTGGTGTATCTACACTGGCGTGGTTCCAGACACACTGATGTATCTACACTGGCATCTACACTGGCGTAGTTCCAGACACACTTGTGTATCTACACTGGCGTAGTTCCAGACACACTTGTGTATCTACACTGGCGTAGCTCCGGTGTGCCGGACATATTTCCTCGAAGCGGTCTCGTTTTGCTTTAAACAGGGATGTTCCGTGGAATTCTTCGATCACAGTACATTACAGTGCTAAGTGGTACTCGTTCAATGTCATACAAAATTGTTCAACAATATTTGTGTTCTCTTTATTCACTGCGTCCAAGGTGGCGTATGAACGTGGCGTAACTTTGCACAATATTGGGATTTGGGTTGCTTATTGATTACATATTTTAAGACTACACCTGTGGTGATGCACGGGAAGATTGGTCCCGTAAAACACAAATACACTTCTAACGTACCAGTCTGACCACTATTGCCTTGAATCACTTACTGTTTGAGAACCTATAATACTATGCGTACAGAATAATTGTGTCATTCAAAACGTTTCAATCAAGGGGAGAACCGACAAACCTTGGTCCCGGTACATCATATGAATGCTGCCATGTCAGCAGCTCTAATACCTCGTTGCAATGTTTGGGAACAATACGTTGCATCGCTCAGAGCCTCTAATGGTCCGCTGCCCTGTGGTTACCTACCATCAAGTCATTGGATGAATGCTGGTTACTATGTTTCGTGTGAGTTATTGCTAGGCAAATCTTTAATTTTTGCCCTTTTATTCTTGAAATTAGATATGAATGTAGTGCAAATTGCATGCCAAACTTCGTTAGAGACACAATGAAAAATCGTCGCAGTACTCTGAGGACATCACTGAGGCCTTTCCAGCCTCAGTGATGTAGAATGATTTCCAACCTCAGAAAGCTTGCAAAAAGCAAGCGTTCTTATATGATTGCAAGGGAGGATACTTATTGCAAGCATCCCGTACTCTTCGCAACGAAGTCTCCGACGGCGGCACTGCGCTCTTCCTTTAGGGCGGCTTCACGTTTCCCGAGTGTCCGAACTCATTGCCACAACCGAACCTACGCAACGTCGAGTTTTAACTATCATACGAATGGTTCCTTGATACCGTTCTTTGCCAAAGATATCTCTCCTGATATCATCTCCTGGTATATTGAATTTCGATCATTATCGACAAAATATTTCCCTGCTCATAACGCAGAGCATGGGACAACAGATCAGTTAAATATTCAATGCTTGTTTAACACTCCTGCCTGCTCGAATCCTCCTGTGAAACTGGGTGTCAATTCATTCAAGTTAAATTCTTACAATGCCGAAGCGCCAGGAGCTTAAACCAGTTCTTGCATATATTCACATTGGAAAAAATGATTCAGTGATGGCGTAGTGATCTCGTCAGGGTAGTTTCTTGACAAGTTTCCAATTTGGCGTAAATAGACATTCCACATCGACACAAACCATCATCATGCATGAGGATTGCTGACTGAATGCCATTCAAGATCATGAAGTGCATCATTAGATTGCCTCAGATGCGTTCGTTTCTTATATTACGTTCGAAATTCGAAAGCAAAAAGTGACATCCTCTGTCTTGAACCCGATTTGCTTTGTGGATATTCGTATAGGTCCCTGGATACCGGAAACGGGATTCGGCCTCAGTTTGCTCGGCCTAATCGAAAAGCTGCGTTAAAATCTTACATGATATTACACCTGCTGTTGTTTAATTCTGACCTCGTTCATAGATATGGTATTGGCACAATGCGTGACGAGACCTTGGGACTATCGCCCACCCCTGCCTTGCCGAGATTGGCAAAGCCACTAAAGCTGACCAGGGCTGGGGCAGCCGATGACTGCTTTTTGGCTACGTTACATGCGGTCTGGCACCTGTATCGCAGATCTTGAAGGACATCTGAATCCCAAACTAATGGCAAGGAATATCCCTGTCAATGATCATATCCGTAGAAAAGTTATTTAGTCAATCTGAGCAATGCGGCGTGCATTATTGTGCTGTGCGTGGCCATGGCCAGAGATATGGGGCTTTAGCAACCAAAATGTGAGCCAAAAATGTACATACAACGGTATCTGCATTTCATTTATGTTTCGCACACAACTTGTGAGTGAATATTTGTATTGCGCTGAGCGAATCGAAGGAATTATTCTGTGATAGCCTTCGCAGATGAGCGAAGCCAATCAAACTAAATTCACTTCACAATAGCGAACAGGGCAATAAGGGATCCAGTGAAGGCAATGAAAAAGATCCCTGCTGATTTACCACTAGGTGACCCTTTGGATGTCTGCGCCGCAGTTTGCGCCGGAGACACGTATGAAACTGTACGCCCGTTAGTCTTCTGAACCGGACGGAAGTTGCTTGTCAAGAGGCCGTGTTTTCCTTCCACGTTTCGAAAGAACTCGAGCTGAAACGTAGAACATAGACAAGTTGCAGTGAAGTGGAACAGCAGGGTAAACTTCACACGAAGTGACTTAGACTGCGCACACAGCTCAAGAGGCGAGGAGATGAACAACCGTTACATCACAGACAGTTTCATAAACTGCTGCCCAGCACGCTTGGCATAATGGCGGCAATGATTCGGTCAACTTATAAAGCGTTTGGATACATTTGCTTGGAGTCTTATACAGGTGTACCAACCATAACCCCTAATCGGAAACAATACCAATCATGCGGAGATAAACAATAGCTGAACAGATAATGAGTCTTTGGTCAAAAAACATACCGCACATTTCTCTGTAGGCTCCTAAAAGCCGAGCTCCGACACGCTCTACAAGGGGTAAAAATGGTAAAACACGATACGCTCTCTATTTGCATTTCCTTTACGAATACATCGCACTGATATGAAACACATAATGATTACATTATCATGCGAAAGTTATGATGAACCCATAGCATCCAACATACTATTTTTCACAAGCGTGCAAGTGATTGGGTCATTGCATGTTGTCAACGGCCTGCTCAAACCTGGAGACCTCAGGCTGCCTTCTTGGCGTTGCGAAGTCGATAAATTATCTGATGACATGAGATCCAATGATAGGTGCTCTCAAGAGGAGGAGACCATGGACCGTGCGACACTTTCACAATAACTACGGAGTAGCTGGGCATCTGGCAAAAGTAAGATGAGACCCCTTCAGTGGCGCTGAACTTCACATAGGTCACTGCAGCACACGACACGTCAAGGTACAAAGAGGCCCAGGAAGACCCAGGTAATGGCAAGGATCTGAAATAAATTTCCTTAAAGGAAATGTTCCACACTTGACGAGATTTAAGCAAACATCAGACATGGTGAAATAAGTTCACATATGACTATTGGCATACTTTTAAGTGGAAAAGACTACTCTAAAAAAGTGGAAAAGTGGAAAAGCCAGCACATTTCATCTGTGAAGTAAATATGCTCTACAATACGGCATTATTTCATTTCGTCATCGTACCTTGCACTGCATGGATTGAGAGCCTTGACTGCTTTCCGCTATGGCTGGAAATCGTGTTCACAAACGCCATATATCAACGACTGGCAGTTATTGTTCTTGGCCTTAATCACCGCACGCATAATGGAACAGTGTAATTTGAATGACGTTATTGTGACGTTATGGATACCTGTGTGACCCTAAAATAGTCTCCCCAAAATAATTTGCACATCTTCGCGGGCGCGCAGCTCAGAAGCCAGAGAGGTTTAAGCATTAAGAAGGGCAGAGCTGCGAACTGCACCAAATGATCTTCAAGATGATTATTTCAGTTTAAAACCCCATACAAATGTGGAAAGTTCCCTTTCAGAATTCAGGGGCCAACAAGTCGAAAGGCCCCAACACAGGAAGAGGAAGGAAGACATTATTAGGGTCGGTAGTTCCTGCCACCTGTGCACCCCACCATCCATCGCCGCCCCGGAGAGGGTGGGGATCCGAATGCCCTCAGCATCGTGTCCTTTCATAGGACCATGGGGACACTCGTTGCACCATGAGGACACTTGAAGTACCATGAGGACACTTGTAGCACTATGAGGACACTTTTGTACCACCACGAAGACACTGTTCTGTGCTCACCTACAGCCAATCACCGAAGGGGAAATGTAGCTAAATAACTGTGAACTGAGAAATTACTAAGCCGACATTTTTGCAATCGTTGGCAGCCAATAGAACGCATAGCAGGTTGCAGACCGTTGGTCCATTGTCACTATTTGGAGCCCGAAAATGCACTTGAGATGTTGTTTAGGCGCCAGCTCCAAACTCTACAGCCACTGCACTGGTTTTCCCACAACCTTTACCATTCGTTAGAGGAAGTTGTTCAGTGCATCAGCGAGAAACATTATTCACATAGATAAGAGTATTGGCCTTATTCCTCTGAAAAACTGTAGAATGAAGTCAGGGTGATATTTTGGCAACATGCCTTTATCGAAACAATAGCATGTTTTTCACACAGTTTACACTTGATTTCGTAAACCACGTTTTTTGCGTGCAAAACTCCTGCAGCCCATAAACTGTGTGAAAAACATGGAAGGGACATAGTCTATGCCGGGGAGACTACGCGCTCTATTCGTTTGAGATACAACGAACACCTGCGAGACGCTAAAAATAAAATAGGGAATACCCCTTTCGGTGACCATTTTTTTGGCAAAACACGCTTAGGCTGAAATCAAAGGAAGTATGGACCCTATACCACTTCTAGACCTTAAAGTCGTCTACAGAGTACAGGACCACTCAGGAAGGAAAATGAGTGAATCATTTCTTATAAAAAGTCGGCGACCAAATCTTAGCATACAGGGCTGGCCAACTATGCGAACGTGATATGTGCCTCTATGTGTGATGTGTACTACCTTAAAATCATTTACATGTGTAAGTGATGCCTGACGCGTGATGTGCGATGCCTGTTCATTTGAAATCGTTTGCATGTATCATTGATGCGCGATGTGTGATGCCTGTTTACTTCAACTCGCTTGCATGTTTGAATGAAGCGTGGTGCGTGATGCCTATTTGCTTGAATTCGTTTTCATGTACACGTATGCACGCGCATTCTAATTCTTAGATAGGCACTGTATCTTGGCAATGGCTGGCAATCGCTCTTTCTTCAATCCCCTGACTTTTGGTATCCTGTAAAAACTGTGGCTTGCTCTTTCCAAAACAAACCTGAAACATCGAGCAGGATCATTGGCAGGCAATTTTCAATTCACTTCTCCAATTGCATCGATATACATCATCCTTACTATATTTCCATTCTCCTGATTTTTCCAAGGGATAAGGCTAATACTGTTATCTTATTCGCTAAAGCACATGCAACTTCTTAAACAATTCCCAAGCTGTAAAGTACTGGTAGACGCAAAACATAAGATTTTTGTAACGTTGAACTGATCTTCTCGCGGCCTTCACCAATCTATAGAGCACGGCAAAATTTGTGGGCTGTTGAATTCGGCTTGACTTGCAGTTTGTTCACTAGACTTCTGGTCACATTTAAGACATTTGAAAAGCAAATAAACTAACAGGGGATCTGCATGTACCTCTATACTCGGAAATTGCCCGCGCAATTGTCTTGCAAGCATAAGCGAGTGTTCCACATTTATATGACATTTTGAAACGAAATAGCCATCTTGAAGACCTTTCGGTGTCGTTCACAATCCTGCCCTTTGTAAGACCTAAACCCCTCTAGTTTCTGAGCTACACGCCCGCGAAAATGGAGAAGGTATATAGGGGATAGTATTTCAAAGTCATATTAGGATCTATGTCACACTAACGTCATTCAAATCCTGCCATTCCAGAAGCCATGCGGCGATCAAGGCCAAGAAGAATATAACTGTCGAGGCTTTCATATCGGTCGTTTGTGAGCACGATTTCCAAATATAACGGCCGTCAATCGGCTTTCAATCAATGTTGTGAAAGGTAGGATAACGTAATCAAACCACGACGTATTGATGAGCATATTCATTAAACGGAGAATTGTGCTGCCTAGAGCAATCCTTTCTACTTAAAAATATACCAATGGTTATAAGTGAGCTTGTTTAATGATATTTAGTGATTGCTTCAATATTGTCAAATGTGAAACATTGCCTTTAACCCCTGTCAGTCGAAAGCTAACATTTTATGTGCACTCAATTGCTTGCATATTTCTGCAATACAAGTTATATGGGAGTTTCCGAACTTTGAAGTGGATCAATTCATGTATAGATATGACGTAAGTTGTTTGTGCATTTGCGAGGGGGCATTGTGCACATAGAAAGAACAGAAGTAGAAACCTTATTTCTCGTAGAAAAACCAGGAAAATGGATATAGAAATCCTATCATATTTCGGCAACATGCCCTTTTCAGCTTGAACATATCTTGTGATTCTAGAACATCCTCGCGTTTACATTTCTACTTGCTTTGTATTCGAACACTCACACAATGGCATACGCACCGCCCTGGATCGCGACACCACCACGCGCCGCGGGCGCCGCCCCGCGCGCCAGCGCAGGCAACCACCGCGGCATCCAACGCGAAGCGACATCCGCCGCCCGCCGGCCGCGCGATCGCGCGAGTCGGCCAGCTGTAGACTCCGATAGGCAGCAGGTGGGACAGTCAGCCGCACCCCCAGCCGGCAACCCGGCCCCATAGCTCCCTCTGAGGGGCCGAGCCAGACGGTCACGGCGGAGAATCGACACCGGTAATGGACTACATGCGGAACAATGACAAGCACACACTCACAAACACATTTCGTCATGCGCATACGCAGTCGAGCACCAATGATAATGTGCCCGGTACAGACGGTAGGTTATCACTGACTGCCTCATCCACACGATGTAAGTGCCCCTCCACTAACGCGATGCTCAACGAGGCGAGTGCACAGCCATTCTATCCAAGATCACAGACCACGTCTGGTTGTAAGGTGGATTGTGTTGGCGCTTACAGACACATATCTCTCTACATCGGAGTACCTTTGAATAAACCCAAAGAAGCTTTGTGACCCTGCCATATGTATTGCTTGCCCAACAGCAAGTACAGTCGAATGGCGAACACGGCAATTGTTTCGACCGGATAAACGGGATTATAAAGGCTAGTGATAACGTTATGTATAGTGAGTCGTCCTGTGGAGTCGCAATCATGTGATCAGATCAGTCCGGAAACTTAGCGACCCAGGGCAGAACCCGAACACATGTGGCGTATCCTCGCTATGGCTCTGGCGGCGCGGACACTCATTCATCTCTTTGATTCCATAGAGGTGTAGCATGCGGTTCGTCGGTAGGATCCTGTGGATGATTGTAAGTTGCAGCCATCTTAGTTTTAAGTCATCTGTTGTGTCGTACAATACTTTGCATATTTTTGTCCACTGTCCTTGCCCCATAGGTCCAAGCCTAAGTTCCCATTTCGTCTGAGCATTGCCCGGCAGAGAAACATGAGCCGAGGATAGGAGCACACTATATCCCCACTTTGCTGTTCCCACGCACCTGCCTGCTCATAAGCGCATGGAAGGACTGCATTGGTGGGCTTTTCCTGAGCAAGCACTTCCTGCCAAGAACGGGATATAACATGCAATATAGACCGCCATGTCAAAAAATGTTCACATCCCAATTGTGTTTTCAATTGGTCTGCGTAAAGGAGTTTTCGGTCCTGGTGGTTGTAGAGGTCGTTTAATTGGACCACTGAGGGGTAAATCAGTTGGTGCTTGTTTAATGATGTATTCTGTTCAAGGTTCATTTCAGTGTAGTTCCATATGACTTTGGCAAAGCATGTTTGCTTCTGAGAGTCTGGGCCGTAATGAGCGTACGATCTGGATCCAAGCATTTAATGCTTCTGACCAAAGCTTGCATCCATCTGGAGAATTCAACATTTTGTTTGTAAGGATTGGTATCGCAGTGCAATAATGATATTACAGCAATTATTTTTAGTTTGTGCTGTAGTATTTTCTTTCATTCAGCAATGCACTCTGGGATAAGCAGCTTCTTTAGCCAGGCCATTTTAAGACTGCCTGCCTGTACTGATGAATCGGGCACCCTCAGTCCTCCCATAAGAAGATGTGTTTTCATCATCGACCGTTTCATCCTCTCTCGAAATCGGTTCCCAATCAACTGGTATATTATTGTTTCTATCTTCTTTAAGGACGTATGATTTGGCTTTTCAAAGAGTCACTAGATATATAAGCTGCGAGAGAGCCTTAAGTCTTCATTTCTGCGTCACCGGTGCTAGGTTAATGTCGCTACAGCACCTGATTTGATATGCCAGAGGCTCAACTGAAATCGGGAATAGCAGGCAGCTGAGTGGACGTCTTCGACGGAGGCATTTGGCCATCAGGCACGGCTCCGTTTATCTGCACGCGAGCACTGCTCTGGGTGACTCCAGTTTGATCATGCATCAAGTAATCCACTTCTGGATATGAGGTCCGAAATCTAGTGTTTTAACGGCACTTTTCAGGTAGCCCCAGTCCACCGAATAATATGCCTTATGCCAATCGCAGAGCAGTGTCAGTCCAGGCGTATTGTGGATTTTTGCACACCGAATTGTCGATATTTAGAATAATCTAATTAATAAAAATAATTTACCGAATAATCGACAATTAGCCGCACATTCCCGCCTATAAATCTACCCGACAGAAAAACTGTCTGATCTCCGTTTATAATTTCATCTATTACTGCATTTTGTATTCGTGCCAGAACTTTTGTCCATATTTAGTATACAACATTTAGCATGCTAATGCGCCGAAGGCATCCCATTTGTCCTCGATCTTATATTTTATATAATCCAGCGTCTCAGAATACAGAGGACAGTTGCGAGAAGTATTTCTTTGGTATTTCTTCGGATTCATTGCCACTTATTATGGCTGCAATGTTAAACTTGGTCCGAGTCACAAAAGTGTCGTCACTCATCAGAGAATGATTGAATTTCCAGAACGATTTCCCAGCTATCACGTGACCTACGCTGACAGGTAAGACCACACATGTAGTGATCAGACAGATCTGCGATTGATGACGACGGCGTCTACGATTGATGACAAAGTTGGAAAGTCTTCTTCCGTTAAAAACTTGCCTGTTACGAAAAAGTCAATCCTTGATTCGCTGGCAGGATTTGGTCCATGACACGTAAATTGTTTTTCGTCTGGGTTTAATGTTCTCCATATGTTAATCAGATCATGTTCAGCCATATGGCTTGTGACCAGTTGTTTGCACCGGCGATTATTTGCTTCACTTTGCCGTGTAATTTGCTTTGCCTCACCTCGCATCGAAGTAAAAGGTAGTCACCTCCCATAACAGTGTGTCCTATGTTCAGTTCATGGCAGTGGTCCAGAAAGTTTTTGAATGGGGCGATCGTATCACTGTTCGGTTGGTATATACAGCCGAGGGTGAGCTGTATCCCGTTAACAATCACCCGTAATACAATGGACCGACCATCGGTGCACTTCCAGGTTTGTTTAACATCTACCACTAAACGGGGTCTAAAAAGAAGGGCGTCACTTCAGCTTCTGCTGTCACCGTGACAAACGTATCCACCACATCCCCATTTGCTCAGCCACATCACTTCATCAGACTGAACTGAATGGGTCTCCTGCAGGAAGAGGATATCTGCCTGTTGTTTTTTGAGCCACGGAAACATCTCGCGTCTTTTCGGCACACCGCTATTCACGATTCTTTGATCGTTAGCGTTTAATGATACGAATTTAAGGGTTGCGCCTTTCATATGGTGTGTCTGGTTTGGCTCCGTTCTCATCTCCAACTGGTTGATCACGGAAGCATGATTAAAATAATGGCCAAGTATGGACAGAACATGAAGAATGAACTTTGAGTGGCTGCGTGGCAAATTGTATGAGACACGGTATGTTAATGCTAGTGCAAGTTCAGACCAAAACGGGTTGTCACAAACCACTGTTAAGTGAGTGAAGGTGAGCGCATTCTCAGAGTTTTTCAAGTACGAAATGAGCACAATATCCTGAAAAACAAAACACACATCGTCTATGAGCGCCTGTATAGGCGAGTGAGCGGCCTTGCCGGCTAGGGCGCCCTTAATGATCTCCCACCATCCACATGATCTCTCTTGTAATCCCTGGGTGGTGATCCCAGACAAGCCTGCCCCGCCGCCCGGCGGCCGGCCAGTGAGCATTCCCGGCCGCAGCCACACATACTACGGCACACGCGCGGCCGCGGGGACGCGCCGAACGCACGCAGTCTGCCGTACCCAGCCGCACGGGCGAGCCCAGGCGCCCGAGCAGCACCTTGCCAGGGTAGCACAATAACACTCACTATCATGCAGCAAGTGATTCACCGGCCCTAGGAACGCTGCGTCACAGGCGAGTCAGAGGAGAAAATGCACACTGATAGCGGAACATTGCCTCTCGTATCAGAGCACAAGGAAACCCAAATATGGTTACATGTGGTTGGATGCTGTCTTTTTCAGCGAAATTACGTGCACGCACACGATAAAGGAAACCTTGATCGCGAGTCTCTGAATCTCCTAAAAAAGAACGAAGTCGAATACCTTGATTTTGACCGGCTAGTTACATGTCAACAGTCCTCGGCTCACCCGGAGCGTCGCCTGCAGCAAGAACATGTCCATAAATCTTCACAAGCATGTGTTTCAATGGTTATTACGGGGGAGACCTTTGATTTCATCGACGCTGTCGATCAGGTCTTTCTGAGTCATCGCACTTGTTCTGCAGTACACGGACCCGTTGCGGTTTGAAATATACAAGGTAACCGACCTTCCTTCTTGTGCACTAACAGCTTGGCGAAAATGTTCCGTTTACTCTGCGTCACACTGCGTCACTACACTTATAAACAGCTCACTGTCCTCTCGCCTACCTTAAGCAGCACTATATTCTCATCGAGAGAGTGTTTTGAGAGCCGGCACCTGCGTGGACGAACCTGCAGAGCAGCACCCTGGAGCCGATACGGCGAACGTCCGCCAGCTCGCCCGGGTCTGCCTCCGCCCGTGAGAACACGCCGCATGACGTCACAGGCCGCCCGCCTCAGGTCCTCGGGGCGGCCGTCAGCGGCGCATTCAGGCCGAGGCGCCGGGGGGGGGGGGGGGGGGGCAACTTCCCCGACACGATGAGTTCGGGCGACTTCCACTGCTTTTCTCTGAGCTTCTGAGCCCCGCTTCAGCATGCATGTTCATGATGACTTGCTTTGAGGTGTTTACTTGGTCGTTCAGTTTTTCAACCAGGTCATTCCGTTCGGACACACTGCGCTCTTAGGTCCACTACTTTCTGTTCCAGTCTGACCACATATCTTTACCGAAATGAATAGCAGAAGTGCTCAATTCCTACTATTTGTTTCTATGAGGGTATGTTGCCGAAATATCAAAGCATCTATATTTCAAGCCTCCTGTTTTTTTACGAGGAACAAGGCCATTTCTACAGTCCTATCACCCATATACAGTTTATTCTATCCCTTAATTCCGAAATTTTGGTAGCGGCTTATGAGCCCTGAACGCGTGACTCAATTTGATGCACTTGTATGGAATGGCAGTGTTGCCAGAGGTGAGCACCCTGGAAGCTGTTCGCGGACTTTAATGTGTTGTAGCCGTTGATACTATAGAGCGTTGATACTCTGATACGTATCGGCCACCGGGGCTATTTTGCACGTGTTCTAGCCATTGGTAAAAGCTATGGGAAAGCCGATGTTTAAAATTTAAGGTTAGAGCTGGCTGCACTTGTTCAGAGAATTGTGGTGCACTTTTAGGGCCAAGATGGTGAAATCGGGCCACCGGTATTCGAATGACTCACATAGGGCAGATTTGCATATTTGGGAGCGGGCTTGAATTGCTCGAACCGGCCATGTACCATTCATGTGCGCTCCAGTAGTTCAGTTAGAGCTCCACATCAGGGTGCATGCACCCGTGGAGGGATGAGTTCGAGTCGCCTTAGCGAGGCGCTTTTTGCCCCCGCCTGGGGTGGCCCGCGGCCGGTGGTAGCGGTCGCGCTAAAGATCCGGTGGCGTCCGAGGGCGGGGCGGACCGTGCCAAGTATGACGGCACAGCATGCCGTTGCCACAAGATTTTGCAATTGTCCTAAACTTTCACGATCGGATGGTGAGGACAGGGCTCACGCAGTACAAAATGCTTAGCGTGCCGCTGACAGCAGCGATCCCCGAATGAAAAGCTCCAGACTTAAGTGCTACTGCCGACTAAATGCATGACGAAATATGTAAAAAGGTCGAGATGATGATCCTAGATCACCAATTTCAGACCAGTACACAAAACCTCATGGTAATTGCCTGAAAATTTTGTAAGTTCGTCATCCACACTAAAAGCGTTTGTGTCTTCCAATCAGTTTAAAAATAAACTGTGCTTGTGTGCACTGTGATGGAAGCGTGCCATTTCCAAGTTGATCGGTTTACTGCTTTGGGATTACCTGACACAGCTGCCCATCATTCACCTTACCTCACGGTTGGAAACCTTGAAGTGCTCCTCGAACACGGTCCAAATGACTCCCTCTTGACAGCCGGGCGTGGTCAGTGACCCCTTGTACGTGTAGTAGTTGTTCAGCGCATGGGGCAGTATTGACTGAATGGCCAGTGGTTTCTTGACGACCAACTCCGGGGCATCGAACTTCTGTAGCTCTGGACCGAATCCGGCTATAAAGCCGACGAGGGGGTGGCTAGATGCCTCGGCATTCTGTTGGAGAGAAGAAACAGAACAGCCATATCCCATTGTGCTTCGGCGGATATAAGCCCTTTTCCGATGGAAGAGGTATGGACTGGTCGTTTCAAAGAACAAGATGTTACCTAGTTTCCCGCAACGCCACATCGATGAAGGGTATTACTCTTGCGTGAGATAGAGGACCTCAAAGGCCTAAATATTCTGGCCTATTTGTTGCTGAAGACTTCTAAGCTGGTGGAGGAGTGGATATTAGAAAAAGCCTAGTTGGGACACCGATTTTCGGGGTCCACCATTATCAGGTGGGCAGAGAGGAAATAGAAAATGGGGGAAAGGGAGCTGACACAACTACGCTGCAATTGCTTCTGCGGCGCTGGGCTGGACCGCCTGTACCGTCAGTCCAATGCCGGCAGAGCCAGATGTAGGGAAGTCGTGTCGTCGCCGTTTTCCTGCTCTTTTCTTCCCTCTCTTCCCAATTCTACGAATCTCCAGCAGCAAACAGGTCAATTTATGTAGGGTGCACAGGTCATCTATCTATTCGCAATATGGCATCATATTAATTTCAAAGGAAAACATCACAAACAACTTCTTAGATGTGCCAGTGTGTATTTAGCTGTCTGCAAACATGGTTGCATCCACGTCAATCTGGGCTAAAGTCCCCAACACGAAGGTGCGAAGGTATGCACCTGTGATTCGCGCCCTGTGAACTTAGAGACCAAAAACAGTTTATTCTAGCCATCACATCTTAGTCGTGAGCAACTGAAGAGCCAAACATATTCACCCAAATCGGCTTGTTTCCTGTACGTAAGCTTACACGGCGCACTTTGAAAATGCATAAGTTCCTCTTTCAACTTAATGAAGCTAGGCCCTGGTTAAGTGAGCCGCCTGGCATCGTCCGACTACCGAGGCTTCTGGCTGCTTGAGACCACCTGGCTGCCTGATATCGTCCGACTACCACAGCCGCCTGGCTGTCTGACATCGTCCGACTACCGAGGCCGCCTGGCTGCCTGACATGCCGCCTGGCTGTCTGACATCGTCCGACTACCGAGGCCGCCTGGATGTCTGACATTGTCCGACTACCGAGGCCGCCTGGCTGCCAAGTAACAACCGCCTACTATGGCCGCCTGGCTGCGTAATATCACCTGGCTGCCGAGGCTACAGAACTAAGCATGGTTGCATGACTGCCTTAAATTGCCTGGCTGCCTGGGATCACCTAGCCGCCTAAGATGACCTGGCTGCCGAGGTCGCTTGGGTGTCTAAGATAGTCCGGCTGTCGACGCGCCTAAAATCCCCTGGTTACCGAGGCCGTCTGGATGCCTAAATTGCCTGGTTGCCACCCTGTGCCATGTTTTGGCGGTTTATGAGGCCATTATGTGCATCAAATTGGCCTACCGTTAAAAAATTACAAAATTGCTACGCGCAAGCGATGCCCCCCCCCCCCCCCCCCCCCAGAAGTACACAAATTGACACCCAGGCTATGAGCGCTCATGATTCTCATCGAGCACAAATCATGGGAGTGCGATATCAGCATAAATGCATCCGTTGTTGCCAGCCGGAAGCAAGATGAACACCTTGTGAAGGCCGCGTACTGTTTATAAACACACGACAATTTCGCGCAAGTGAAATGCAGGCCTGTGGCGAGTCGCGGCTCAGACTTTAAGAAACCCGAAGACGAACTAAGATTACATCAATAAGTCAATAAGCTCCAAGCAGCGTACTCAGATTTCCACCAAATGCATCCTGTAAACTATGAACCCCTTCGAAGGCCGTGATGTAACGAATAAAAACTGCAATGTTTTGGACCTGTGGCAGCAACCACCGCAGTGCCACCATGTTTGGGAACAGCATATTCCAAGTGGACCTAGGCCAGCAGGAGTTCCCGAGCGTTGCCTGAATAAGGTACTCAAGGAAATTTTCGAAGTTATAACTTTAGGTCCCAGAAACAGACAACTGAAATAAGTTAGGTATTGCGATTTATAAAAACCAGCATTGAGAATTTCAGGTACACCTTTATCATTTACACACAAAGCAAAGCTGGCATAATTCACTTCTTTAGCGTTCATCTTTAGTGTTTACATGGCACAGGTCTGGTGTGATATCCGACACGCATGGAGACGCATCAACGGTTGATGACTCTTACGCCGTATGCATCAGAAGATGCCAACATTCTAAGAGATAGTGTCTGCACGCAATGAGAGAGTTAAATCTTCAAATCTGTTTTATGTGGGCACAGGAGTAACCGCAATGATGTGGTAGATAGATGCTTATCATGGAAACTCGTATTCAACGATTTGCTATGGATTGTGCCCTAATTGAGGTGTAAGTCACTTCTGGTCCTGCACGCCAAGATGCCAGTGAAACATGAGCTCTTGAGAAAGTGGGCCCGCTATAAGCGTGTTCCGATTTGGTATCGCTTGCAAAAATCACTGTGGGACAGTAAACAAACTTGGTCATGTCATGAAAAATCGTTGCGCTGATGACATCATAATATGCGTTATTTTCTAGTTGTTTTTAAATTACCTACAATATTTTATAGAGGTTTTGCTGAATTCCCATCGAGGTGTTGGTTTTCAACCACCGGCAGTAAAAGCAGCATCGATGACCAAAAACTGTATCTCTTTTTGAGATGCAAGACACTTTTTCATCTCGTAATAACAGCCATGTTTGTCGACTTGTTGGCTATGCATAATGATATATTTATAAGTGTTCTTCGAACATTTGTGGTCACCACTTTAACTCCCACGCTAGTGTAAGGTATTGTTGTTTGGTCATAACTTAGTGATGGAAATGCTTCACACCACATTTCTGGTTATGGTATACAAACTGAAGCGCGACTACGTTCAGTGCACACTTGAAACCGCGGTGCATAAACGTTGCCTAAGAAATAAAGGCTGACGCCGGAGCCAGAGTCGTCTGTTTCAAAACCTTTGCTTTTCCTTTAGACGTCCGGCCAGGTCTGAGAACTCGCCCAAGCTCGATAAATCAACACAACTTGTGCAAACCTGCCGCAATATTTGAGGCATTACGCTATGCTTTGCGTTTCCCGATGTATCAGGTGTGAAACAGGAAAGGGTCATTCCAACCATTCGGCCGCTTCCTCACGGGCTATGAACTGTCACGCTACTCTGGCCACGTCACGAAACCACCGAAGCCGGCGAAAGTTAACAGGTTGTCCTAGCCGCCTGATCCGTACCTTGAATAGAATGCCTAGCACAGCAATGCCGCCAGGATGTTTGGCCGCTTCAGAAACCGTCCCGTACTTCTCGTTCACGTACACGACGTGCATCTCCAACGGAGCTCTGCCAAAGACATCGATATCTCGGTTTGATAGCCGTCATAGAGGGCAACCGTCCCACCTGGACCGAACTCACCTGTCACCAAACCCATGTCCGGTGGAGACCTATATCACAAAGTGATGAACTATCTCATTTCTTTCTCAAGAACAGAACGGCAAAGCACAAAACTATGACAAGATAAGACGCTGAAAGCTGCATACTGCACAGTGACACCTGCCTACGGCTCTCACTTATATGTTGCAGTAGCTTCACGATGAGTTCGATGATTCCCGTCGAAAGATCGTTCTGTTTTCATCGCCGTCAACTGCCACCGCCTTGCTTACCGTTTGCCGTCAATGGTGTGCTCAGACCCGCCTACAGTGTTGTTCGGACCCCAGTGGAAGTGCAGCTGTTTAAACACGTACACGCCGGGCAGCGTCCCGCCGTACATCTGCTGCTTCACACCGCCGACGAATGTCATCTCGACGAGCACTGCAGGAGCCAGAACCAGAGACGTGTTACAGGAGCTTACAATTTCTGCGTGTCGGCTGCTGGCGTCTTTTTTCTCGGGCGTTCGCGAGAGCGAGTATGCGTCTCAATTAGAATGAATGCCCAAGCAACCGTCTGGACAATCGGAAGGTTGCATGGGTTGCCAGGCAGACAGATTCTACGACAATCTTTTCGAAGCTCACACAGATAGCAGGATTCTTAGTGAGTCTTCCATGGGCAATTTCCATGATAGCATCCTTGAGTATTGAGAACAGGGCCGCCTAAGAACAATTGCCTCATGAGGATCCGTCGGCCGCGGAAGAGTATATCGGCGTAAACTGAAGGCTAGGGAAACAGTAAGACAAAAAAATGAGGTAGAACACTCGTGTCCCCATTAATGTACTGCCTATGGCTATGAGTTGGGGGGGGGGGGGGGGGGGGTAGGTAGCAGCATTCAAGAGCTGTCTCTGGTTCGTGTTTCACCATGTTCTAGGATTCTGAGTTGGGAAAGGGATAATCGTAAACGTATATCTACCTAGTCTGAGATTTTACGTTGGCGAGCACTAGATATGCGTTAAGATTGCTGTTTAGGACGGAATTTGCTCGTGTAATGGGCTCATCATTTTTGTGTTGTCAATCTGACGCGGCAAGGCACCGTGATGCCAACGAGACCTGCATAATGTACATGGTGCAAGGGGCATGGCGTGAAATGTTCGGGAAACAGAAATACAGGAATACATAGGAAATGAACCAAGTGTTATGCTTCAGATATCTGTCAACCAGTGCTGACACGTGCAGCGAAGCACTGAGGCAAATGCGACTTATTATTCACAATATCGACGCCAGGTGCTTGTGTCCAGTACGGGAGCGTCGGTGTATAACTGCATGGCATACAGCACGTCAGTGCAATTGAAACACATAAGCTTGGTCACGAAGCTGCTGCTGTACGCAAAACGGAATTAATTATAATTGCTGCACTTTCCACGCACGGTGCTCGGTTAAAATAGAACCAAGTTTAAAACATTCAGCACCTGAAAAATAATCGCAACACATGTGGATCAAATATAGCGCGATTTTCTTCCCGACTACCTGGTGGTCATCTTTACACAGCTAAGTGCCAATTTTTTTGGCCAAATTGGAAAAGTTTAGGCCCATGCGCGACAAGTATGGTGCCTAAACCAGCTAATGCTGCACCACCATTCAGATGTTATCATGATATTACAACGCAAGAAGACTAGCAGAAGTGGTATTATTTGGAATAGCAGTGATATGTTGCATAACTAATCTATTTAGCATTCTGATCAGCATGATGGCTTTTGATGAATACAAAATGCTTCGTTCAACCTTGCTACTAAATTTGTATTCAGGTTTGTCCTTACAGATCCGATACCACGAAATATATGTGTAAATTTGAATATTGGTTTTTGTTTTTATTTTCTCCATCCTTCTGTTTTTTGGTTTCAAATTAATTCACTCACAAACCGCTTCATCCCGACTCCTGTTGTCACTGATTTATTCATCGGCAGTCCAGCTTTGCTACTATTTGACAACATTTCGACATTGAAATGATATTCGAAACTAAATATATCTTACTTATGTTCTTCAACATTTACATGTGCCCAGAGCATGACGTAAGCTCATCAAGTGAATAAGTGATGGTCTATCAGGACTTTCAGGTGAGATCCGGGTTCTCATATGTGCCTTTGAATTTATGTTGCATCTAGGTTGTTGCTAAGCCCCCATTATATTTTCAAGTCGGCTTTTGGTTCTTGCTTGCTGGACTCCTCAGCATACTTAAAGCCGTGTCTTAGATATCTGTCGGATCCGTCTGCTTATTTTAAGACTTAAACTTTTTACGGCCCCCTAGCTCAAATCAGTGTTGGATCCTGTTTCACGCTGGAACTCTGAGTTGATTCCAAAACGGGTCCTTTGTTTTGCTGGTTCCGGTACCAGGAACCAGGAACTAGTTAAAACCGGATACCGGAAAGAAATATCGGGAACCAAGCAAACGGCTTTATGCCGGTATACTTGTTCCCACGTGCCAAGCATAGTAGGCTGATCATGTTTGTCAGCATCATCTCACGCCTGCGTGTCACAGTAAGGCAGGGAGGCTCGGTCCGTCCGGGATGCCAGCTTGGCAGCATGAAAAAAGCAATGAGACCGGGCTCGAAATGTGCCTTCAAGTCTGACTTTGTCGGAGGGAGCTCTTGCCTTTTAGACGTTGTAGGTTGTAATAGGTTAAAAACCCTTTAGCCATACATTCTGTTAAAGACACTCCATTTTAAACGACTTAATCTAACTTATTGGCCTTACATCACCATGGCTATACTTCTTAGGCGTCTGGCGCATGACCTGATGCGGAATCGGACGCCGCAGTTCAAAACATGATGCCTCAGGCAGCCTGTGCATTGCGTTCATGATGGTGCACCACGCAGGCACAATCTCGCGGGGAGGGCTCGCACCAACAGCCGTGGGATTAGCGAGTAGACAGCAACACGGTCAGAGGGTTGGTGGGCAGGCCAGTCAGCAGCTGTTTGGTAGGTGCTAGCCTTTGCTGGCGCTGGTACCAAGAGGGCACCACTTCGGGATCGAAGAGCAGCTCCTCCAGGCTGTCGGTTGTGAGCGGCGACAGCAGTGGGGCCGCGTCCCAGGCCCAGTAGTTCTCTCTGCATGGGGGTGAGCCTGACGGCGCCATGACCGACGTCAGGAACATGAAGCCGAGCGGACAACCTCCCGTGGCGCACGGACACCGGTAGCTTGACCCGTGGCCACGGACAGGCGTGGCTGCCCCGGTATTACAGCGCCGTTGACGAGTGAGACGATATCCATCTGCGGGTACAGGGCCAGGCATATCCGGAGCCAGCAGCACCTCATCCCTTGTCACACGGCTCGGTACTCGAGCCCGGTGAGCAGCCCTTCTGATTTATGGCACTCAGTATTTTTGAAAATGCTGCTATGCTACCAAGATTGGTAAAGGGTGTTTAATCGTTTTTGATATTCTACTACAGTCTATAGCATTGACACCCAACCAAAACAATGCTTGACACCAGGCAATACAAAGATCACTGATACAGTAATATTTCCTGTAGTTTCTGGTGAATAACATCCAGGAAGCATCATCTCATCGGTACACCCATGGGTCAGCACTTATATTTAGGAGTGAAAATGTAGTTCTGAAGGAAGAACTACAGAATTTCAAGGATGGGCAGGATTGTACATATTTTGGTAAGACCGAGAAATTGGCGAAGGCGTCAACTGAGAGCAGGGAACTAAAGAACGAAATGTTGGCTATACACGAGGTCAAGAGCATTAAGTTTAGGCAAGATGGGAGCGAGGAGAGTAGGGTAGATACAGGTCACAGGATCCAGGCTAGGCGGGACAGGTTTTGAGTGAATAGGCCGGATGTAGGTCACGATGGTAGCAAGGAGAAGCACAAGGATGAAGGATGGCGGGTAGCACAGAATTAATAGTCAAGACCTTCATATGTAAATGTGGAAGATGCAGCTGTGCCCGCTAGAAATAGTTTTGAGGCACCGCAGGATGTAACAACGGTGAGGTACGTTCAAGCAAAAGTGATGATGACGCGGGATTGTGGTAGCAGAGAACTCTCGAGTTAGACACCCCAATAGAGTTTTTTGTAAGGGAGGAAAGGACAGATATGTCTAGCTAAGCCTGGACCCAAGGTCAAGGACCTAGTGCCAGTGGTAGCGTAGGTCACCAGCGAAAACCAGGCCAGTGCAGTCATTGTGCAGGTAGGAGTCAATAATGTAGGGCAGGGAAATAGTGGGGAGGTGATTCATGAGTGTAGGACCCTCTTGACCAATCTGCAGCATAGCGAAGGTAGGAAGATAGTAACAGGCATTCTTCCCAAGATCGGAACACCTCCTAAACGGAGCTTCAGTGCGCTGGCGCCCAACGCTAGAGTAGGGAAACTTGGCGGAAAGCTAAGTATCACGTTTATAGACAAATAGCACAGGTTTTTCAGTTGTGGATCCCTCTATCAGAGGGATGGACTCCACTTCTCTGAGAAGGGTGTGCACGTTCTGAGTAGTGTGCGAACGTATCCTTCAGGGAAACTAGTCTCTTAGGACGAGAGGCTGAGCATAGAACACCTAGGCACTGAAAATTCAAAAGGGTTGAACAGTGAGCCAGAAACAAGCGTAGGAGAACTTAGGTGCATAGGAACTTAGGAACTTAGGTAAGTGGAAGAAACATCAGGGCCATGTTTGGCTAGCTCCATGCTCATATGCTTGAATAAAAATTAGACCTGGTAGATTTTACTGAGTCTTGGATCAGCGAGCAGATTTTAGCGATAGTTTTCATGAACTTATTACATTATTACAAGTATCTGCTTACAATATGATTACTTTTCACAGAAAAGCAAAAATAAGAAGGTGAGATATTAGTATGTGCAGGGCAGAATCTGAAACGTCAAGTTGTAGACAACAAGAATAGCAATCGTGTAAAATGACCTGGAATATATTTGATCGTGTTTCATGGCAAAACATTACGCATTGGAAATTTCTATAAGTCTGCAGATAGTTGTCAGGATCTGGACATAGAAATGTGTGAAAGAATTGAGAGGTGTGAGTGAAAAGTGTATAGTGCTGGAAGATTTCAACATCCCAGGCTGGAGCGTAGATTTTGACCACTAGTAAAATAGTCACAACAATGTCTTTTGCTTGTTTTAAAGCATGTTTTCTTCAGCAGGTGGTTTGCGAGCCCACTGGGGGAGATGAGGTTTTGGATCTTGTTGTGACTAATGAAAAAGGATCGTAGATGCTTTGACAGCATGAGCGTAGGAATAGGGGGGGGGGGGCAGGTGAGCCATGCCCCCCTCCGCTTTTCAAGGTGGAGAGGGGCGGCATTGTTAACTGCCCCCCCCCCCTCCCACTCTTCAGATTAAGATTGCTTTTGGCTTACCTTTGCACCATATTGAATATACATGCCAATTTAACTAGTTTACAAGCCATCTTCCTCAATATGCGTCATCTGTTT